AAATTGGGGAGTTATTGACAATGTTCGTCTGTTGTCCTGCTGATGCTAAGTGACCTGACTGACCTGAGGTTTTTTGATAGACAGACGCGTTCATCCTTTTTTTTGAACGCGACAAATCCCGTGTAAAGTGTTTGCATGGAAAATTAGAACCGCTCTCTAGCCACAGCTTGAATCCTAGCAACCTCCAGCCTCGAGCCTCAGCCTCACCATCCCGAGCGACCAATCAAATGACAACAATGAAGATAGTTGGTGTCGAACGGAAGGCTGAAAGAACCGGAACATCACCTCAATGAAATGGACTTTCGTACAATTAGAATAATCAATGAATTAACGAATATAAACTTGTACCGATCTACATTATGACAATTTGGATAAGCTTGTTTGCTCAAGTTTCTCGTCACCAGCAATGATACCCCCATAACGTTTAGTGTTTGTCAACAAATCCGTGTTGACTGTTAGATAGCTGACGAATGCGTCTCCGTGGCCTGTATCGGGTACTTTGAAGGGAAGCTTTGTTGTCGCTACTTTTCCATTCCCTTCTCAGTTGTCACCGGTTTTCAAATTACAATTGCGCGGCTGTGGGGGAGGTTGAGGCTCGACTCAGGGTGATCAGTATATAATTAGACCATGGATCATTCCCCGGCATCGCGGTTTTCTGCGGAGAGTCTTTCTCCTACATCTCCTGGAGCTCGGAGCGAATATCCTTTCCCAAGGTTTGTTGCGCGATGTGGAATGCGCTGAAGATGGTATGCTGATATCTAGCAGACCAGGCTCCTCGAATAGCAGACTTAACCCAAGGCGCGGGTCGACAGCTAGTTCGATACACTCGATAGGAGGGACATTAGATACAGTCTCGCACTGGCATGGGTTGAATGAATCCGGGCAGAATGGTAAGTTTCGAGAGGAGGTGGGACAGCTATGGATCTAACATATGGAAGCTATATCTACTTTACTCCAACCACCGATTGTTCGAACTGGCCTCATTCCCCATACTTCCGCTCCCGCATCGAGCGCACATAAACCTCCAACGGCTCGAGATATACCCCCAGTAACACTCACAAATATACCCCGTGTCGATCCTTCGGAATTCAAGTCGTATTTGACCCAAGTAGGAGCTACCTATGATGCATTGCAAAGAGCGAAAGAGAACGAAGAAGAGGGAGGAACTCAGCTACTACGCAAAGGCAGCAAGGCTGAAGACTTTGCGGATATTCTAGACTTCGACCCGCGGACACCTAAACTTTCTAGGAAAGCCTCTCTGGCTTCGCTTGCATCCCTGGAGAGTCCACCGGCATCGGTTCGGAAAAAGTCGAGTAGTGGAAGAAAAGCCCTACATGCGCCGACTCCTATTTCTACGGTTCCCAGCGTGTATTTTGAGGACGACTTTCACTTGGAAAACCCACGAACTTTTGATGTTGTTAGTGAACGCTCAGAGGTCATTCGGCCAACGTCTGGCTCTCCCGATGAACGTCGAGCAAGTAATGGCTCTGCAATTAACCCTAGAAAGGCACTGGCCACGAATGCTATACTTCAGGAAAAGTTGTCGTGGTACATGGACACTATCGAAGTCCATCTAATATCTTCCATATCTACTGCCTCAACATCATTTTTCGCAGCATTAGGATCTTTACGAGAACTCCATTCTGAAGCAGCAGTTTCCGTAGAGAGGATAAAAACGTTGAGAAAGGAATTAGAAGGTTTAGATAAAGAAATGGCCGTGGGTGGACTAAAGATTGTAAATTTGCAAAGAAGGAGAGAGAACTTGAAGCAATTGAATGATGCAGTTCAGCAACTGAAACAAGTAGTAAATGCTGTTGCTAGTTGTGAATCAATGGTGGAAAATGGTGAAGTGGAAGAAGCATTGGACGCCATTGATGCTTTGGAGAAACTTATTGCAGGGGAGGAGATGACGAGCAAACCGGGCCAGCAAAAGATACAACTCCGAGATTTGAGAGGTGCGACAGCCTTGCAAGGAGTAAATCATGATTTGGATGTCTTACGTTTCCGGATTGGCAAAAGTTTTGAAGCCAGATTTCTGCAAGCCCTTCTTGGTGATCTTAGACGGCATGTTGAGACGGTGTCTGCCGAAGATACGCTACAACGTTGGAGCAATGCATCTTCGAGGAATAGGGGAAGTCAGAGTCGTGAAACATCTTCACAACAGCCTACATACCTGAAATTTCCTGAAGAATTCCGGACAGAGTTATCGTCGAATCTGGGCGGCTTGTATAGGGCAAAATATACTTCGGCTGCGACCTCCGCATTCAGAGATGCCGTATTGAGAGAGGTCCGGAACATTATCCGGCGCTTTCTTCCTAGTTCTAATGATGATGACACCGATTCTATGATGTCAGCATCTACGGTTGGTGGTACTAGGCAAAAGAATCAGCAAGAAAAGTCGATGATATTAGCTCGCAATCTGCGTTCTTTGGATCCAGAAGAGGCCGAAGAGCTCCTCAAGAAAACTTATATTCAGGTTGGCGAGACTCTAAGAAGGCTAGGGACTCAAGTCAAGGTACTTTTAGACGTCACTAGTACTCTGGGGGATCCCGACACTCCTGGGGGTGTGAAGTCGCCACCACGAAGTCCTGTAATAGGGTCAATCAATGCAAGAATGAGCCCCAGTCTAAGGGGCAGTTCTGGTAGGGAGTTGCAAGAAGAAATGCATCAGACCCTGGACATGTCTAGTCTTCTTGGACAAGCTGTTGATATTGCTCAAGACAAAGTAGTGAAGGTACTGCGGGTGAGAACAGAACAAAGTACCCATCTATCGGTCGAAAGGTTTCTGCGATATTTCACCTTGAACCTACTTTTCGCAAATGAATGCGAAGCTGTGTCAGGTAGAAGTGGTACATCCCTGAAGAATGTAGTCAACGGTCACATCAAAGACTATGTCCAACAGCTAGGTGAATCGGAGCGCCAGAGTCTTGCTACGGGCATGGAAGCAGATCCTTGGAATGCCAAGGATTTCACTGATCAAGATAAAGAAGTCTTGTCTAGGATACTTTCCGCAAGCACACAGGATGTCGAGCATGGAGTTCCGGCAGCAAAGTGTGGCAGCGTTGTACTGATTCGCCT